AACTGAGGTGATCAGAGGAGAACTCTTCTCTCTCAGCGGGTTGTAGGTATAAGTCTGTTAAGCCTCCTATTTTTCGCAGCTTTCTCCTCTCCTACATGTTTCTGTTTTCAAAATCCCCTTTAGTGTAAGAAATAACGCCAACCTCTGAGCAGCAACTGAACATTTAAAAATGATCCACTTTAGTGGAAAAGTTCCACCAAAACAACCTCCTTCGTTGTTTTGAGGAACACTGTTGGTTCGTCCTGTTGTTGTTCCTGTTTGGGCTCCACCAGACTATCATGACTGATTTAGATAAACACTAACACACCAGAGTGTTTTTCTGTATAGCAGGAAGACACTGAGGTGCAGCAGACCATTCTCCACAGAGAATAATCTGCCTGTGTGAGAGCTGCCAAGGACTGAGAGCTTTTTAAATGTTGGCTGATTATATTTGCAGCTAAAAATACCTGAACCTGTTGTTATCTGTGTCAGGCCAAACTTCTGACAGCGACCTGATGAACTTATCAGCATCCACCACGGTTTCCTGCCACCTAACAATATCTGTAAACTGTCTATAAAAAGATCACTTCTGTCACATTCACCCTCCAGATCTGCACTTCTTCAACTTGAGCTACCTCTTCTGTCTGTCTGTCTGTCTGCATGAAATGATTACTGACTCTCAGACACAGACGTCCTGCCGTAAACCTTCTCTAACCTTTGCAGAAGTCTCTTCCTCCTGGCCCGCCTCCTCGCTCTGTCTCTGCCGTCTAACAGAGTGCTGTGACTGTCCCTCTTTCAGATGGATGTGGTCTATACCTTCCAGACGGGCCAGGCGGCGGTGCCCGGTGCCCTGCGCCGCCAGCCGTCCGTCGTCAGCCAGCATAATGACACCACTGCCGCCAAAACCCTCTCTAGCCCCACCCCCGCCGCCGCTGCTTCCTCTTCCACTGCAGGCAGTGAGTCGGTGACGGAGCTAAGAGCGCTAACAGAACGCTGCTCTGCACTCAACTCTGTCACTCTTTCTGAGTTTGAACTACATTAACCTGCATGATTCACCATCCTCACTGCTTGTGTCTCAGGTGATCTCAGGTATCTGATGTGTCCAGGGTTTGTGGAGGTGGAGTTAGCATGAGAGAGCATCTGTAGCTACGTGGAAAAACAAAAGACAGACTTGTGTGCTTTTCTGATTTGTTGAAGAGATAAAGACATTACAGGCAAGATTTAAAACTGAGCAACATATGTCGACAATTTTTTATTTATTTATTCTTTGAAAAGTAGCACCGCTGACAAAGCTCCTCTAATCTCAGTGTCTGCTAAACTGCATTGTCTACCGCCGCCTTACAATAAAAGCCTCCCAAAGGTTTTCTGGTAGAAAACTCTTAATGCGAAGCAGCAGCAGCAGGAAACGCTCAGTTTGCAGTCGCAGTAATTAAAACAGAAAATAAAGCCATGAAACAGCTGCAGGAAAGTGATAAGTGAACGACGATAAGAATCAGAGAGATGCAGTGAGATGATAGAGAAGCAGCTGAACATCACAAGATGTTTAAAGGAAGAGTTACACATTTGGAGAAAAATCCATGTTGTCTGTCTGGTTAATGAGCAGATGGAGATGAATCCTATTCTTAGAGCTCAGGTAGAAAACAACGAGTCTGGACCTGTGCAGAATTCAGAAATACACCTGTGAAGAGCTCCAAAGCTCACTATGGGCAAATACACAGGAACGCAACCACAGCTGCTTTAAAAACTGAGCCTTTTTAAAAATAATTACGCCTGAATCGGCGACAGTCAGAAGATACTGAGAACCTGCAGACGACCTCATCTGTGTTTCCATCTCTGACTTGGTTCCATGTGTTTCCTGCTTCACCTTCCTCTGCCGTGGCTTATTCTTGATCTCGTTCCTCTTGTTTTTAATACCTTCCATGACTTCCCTCTCAGCCTGCTGCTTCTCCTCCTGCATGTTACGGAGATTTAAACTATGAACATGCATCTATTAACTCTGAGAGACCTGCTGCCTGACGAGCTGCTAACAGATCAGCGAGGAGAGAAAAGAGGCTGCCGAGCCTTCAGATTCGTGACAGTGAAAGTGAAATCTGCGTCCTTTTTCCTTTGTTGTGGGTTTTTTTTTTTCCTCTTTTCCTCGGAGGCGGCAGCCTGGTCACCGAGATAATTTTATGGGTTAATCCTGAGCAGGGTTAAATCTGTCAGGCTCAGCAAGTCTCTCATGGTTTAACAGCCAAGAGCTTTTTAACTTGCGCGCTGTGAGTGTGTGCGTGATGGTTGCATGTATGCTCTAAGCTGCAGTGCTCAGCCTCCAGCTCTCTTGTGGTTCAGTAATAGAGAGCTTTGAACTGCAGGGTTATTAATTATAATGAAGAGTGTCTGCTGGTGCGTATAAATCAGTGTGATCAGCTGCAGCCTCTGTGGATTCATCACACAGAAAACGACTTTAGGCAGAGAGAAGAGTGCAGCGAGGGGACGAACCGATTCTGGCTCCGAGTGCGATTATAAATACACAACCGTGTGCATGCGTTTGTTGTTTTTCCCCAGCGTGTGTGTGTTTGTGTGTGTGTAGGTGTGTGTGTAGGTGTGTGTGTGTGTGTGTGTTGTTCGCTGGTGCCAGGAATCATTCAGTCCTGAAAGTTCTCGTTTCTCAGTTCCTTTGTAGTATTTCTGTGTTTTCATTCATGTTTCGATATGTTGGAGGGTTTTCAGCACAAATTACTGTTAATCAAGGAGACCAATAACTGATCAATAGAACTGATGTTTTTGCAGTGAAAATAAAAACTTTAGCGACAAAACTTAGAAAAACAGAAACTTTGTCCAGAAGCCCTTATTTATTGTTTTATGATTTTTTAATCAAAGCAGAATTTTGAAAGTTTATCTGTCGGTGCTGATTACAGCTGCAACCATTAATCAATTAGTTTTCACAATAGATTAATTATCAACTGTTCTGATCATTGATTAACTGGTTTGAGTGAGTTCTCTGATTGCATCTTCGTAAATATCAATACTTTCTGGTTTCTTTCCTCCTCTATGACAGCAAACTGAATGTTTTTGGACAAGATGACGTTTTGTTTTATCTTTGACAAACACTAATCCACATTTTTATTATTAATTATTATCAATTCTTCTTATTATTATTTCATTATTAATTTATGGCGCAAACAGCCAATCAGTTGATTCAAAAAATCATCCATAAATTCATTTAGAATGGAAGTAATGCTTAGGTGCAGAGACTACACATGGATGGTTTAAGCCATATCAGCACATTTCTAAAATAACTTATGTTATCAGAAATTAGTTGAATAAATAACGATGCTGATAATTGGAAAAACGCTGAATGTCTGATCAATGATAAATATCAGGCTGGTGATCAGTGTGTCTCTGATGCAAAGTTTTATTTAACCGCAAAGTTGCTCCACTGAAGTCTAAAGTTAACAGATCATTTTGTTCTTCGATTTACAAGAACGTAGTTAAAGGAAAATTAGGGAACATCTGATCAAACTTCTGAAGTCAACGTGTCAGCATTTGATGCTGATTTAACTGATTTAACTGAACTTCAACAGTATTTGAGTTGTTTTCACACGATTCTTCTCTTTTGAACTGCAGCTTCAACCCTTAGTTCATCACAAGTCAGCTGGTTTTGAAAATAAACTCAAGTTTATTTCTACATAAAAATCCACTGAAGCACAGAACAAACTAAGACGTGATCTGGATTAAAACTTCTTATTTAAGCACAGAAGACAAACTGGTCACATGGTTGTTTTTGTCCAGTCGAAAAATGAGACGTAATAAGTTTAAATGTCGGGGTTAAGAGCCTACAGTGTTTATAATTTAAATATTAGGATTATAGCCCAACGAAAGATCATTTAGACTTAACTTCACCTGACTATCACAAATACTAACAGTGTTATTCATTATGGAGATTAATGAAAACCCAACAAACCTGATTCCCTGTGAGAAACTTGTTTTTTTATTTTTGTGTGTTTTATGTGTTTTTATTTTGTGTTTATATATATACGTTGTTGTTGTTGTTGTTGTATTTTATCAAAGAGAAACTCGGGGAGCAGAACAAGAACTTTGTCCAAATTCAATCCAGAATAACTTGTTATGAGACTCATTGTGGAAGCAGATTTAAACAGTTGTCTCAAACCCTGTTACAGATGATGAATCTGTGTATCTGAGTCACTGCAGGTGAACTCTGTGTGTGTGTTTGATGGACGCCTGCACTGAGCCGCCTCAGACATTGTGTTGACCTTTGTTTTGCTGAGTCATTCCATATAAAATCTGTTCATTTACAGTAACTTCATTATATTTATTGAACATTTTACCTTCATACTATGATTACTGTCAGACTTATGGGCCCTTAAATGCATCGAGGTGGGTTTTTCATTTACTGTTTCCATCATTTCTGAGCCTCATAACTGAATCAGTTCAGCAGATCGACACATGAAATACTAAAAAAAAAAAACAACACAAATTTGAGTTCTGTTAAAAAACTGCAACCAAATCAGTTTTCCGTTCATCCAGGTGTCACAGTCTGAACGCCAAATCTGATTTTTGTTTATTAGTTCTGTAAGCTCTGAAGATTTCATGTGTCTCTCTGCTGAACTGATTCAGTTATGAGGCTCAGAAATGATGGGAAACGTAAATGAAAGCAGGATATTTGTGCTCTCTGTGTGTTTAAAGGGTGTAACTCTGAAAATACTCACAGTCTGAAGGTTAAACGTTGCACAGCTTCCTTAAACACTAAAGTGACTGCAGACAAAGAATCGTCTGATTCTGGGGGCAGACTGACTGATTTTTGATGGAATGACTCGGCTGTTTTGTGACTTTGTTCCCCCACCACATCCTCATTCGCCTGTTTGACTTGTTGACGTTGTGTTTTGTGGTTTTGCACTTCCCTGCCCAGACTCAGACGCACGACCGCCACATCTCCCATCAGCCCCCGCTGCCTGTTTGACGTCACCCCCGTCCAGATGCAGCCTGCCTGTTGCTGACGTCTCCTCTCTCTGTTGCAGATTAAGGTGGTGAATGCGTTCCGTAGCTCCCTGTATGAGGGGCTGGAGAGCCCAGAGTCCCGTTGCTCCATCCACAGCTTTATGGCCCATCCTGAGTTTGTGCCCCTGTCCGAGGAGGAGGCCCGCATCCCCCCCATCGAGGAGACCGGAGACGAGATCGACCCCCTCCCCAGCTCCTCGTCTGGGGCCCAAGGAGGACCAGAGTCGCCCGGCGTCCCGACCATCAGCTCCGAGTCATTCCTCTGAGCTCCTTCTCCGCCCTCCTCCTCCTCCTCCTCCTCCTCCTCCTGCTCCCTCCTCTTCATCAGCATCATCTGTCACCCACCAACCGAACTGTCACCCTGAGGAGGGAAGTCATGACTCTGCTCATCCCCTCATTCTGCTTCACCTCGTCTCCACCCCCTCGGTCATTCCTGCCACGTTGTGTTTCGTTCATACTGACTGTGGCGTCGCTCTGCCTGTAAGTTTGTCTCTCCGCCACCAGGACACAGTCAGTCAGTAGAAGGTGGAGTCCAGCATCTCCACAGCCGAAGGCCTGTCCTCGCTCCTCTGTTGGTTTTTTTTGTTTTGTTTTGTTTTTGTTTTTTTAACTGGACGATCCTTTTTGAAAAGCTTTTAAACTTCGTTGGGTTCGATCTTCGCTGGACTCACGGCAGCATGTTGTGTTCTGTATTCGCTTCATTCCTGCGTTCTGAAAAACGGCACCGAATTTTTTAAAGAGTGCAGTGATTCTGATGTACATAAGTTCCTCCGTTCTTCTACACAGCTCTGAGCTGGGTTTGGTGTTCAGAAGACTTCTAGGCAAATGCAAAAATGTAACCTTTTTTTTTTTTTCTTTTCTTTTTTTTAGATGTTCACCATTTGTTTGTTTTAAAAATGTTCAATGAATGTTAATTGAAGGTTGATTCTAACTCCTGAGAATTTTTGTGAGTGTCGACACTACAGTCTTCAAGGTTAAACCGATGTTCTTCCCTTTATCGTGTCTGTACGTGTTGGTTTTTCTTTAGCTGCTGTGTTGCATGTGGAAGGACGGGGTGTTTACGACCAAAAACCACAAACACGACGGCGTCCGGAGATCTCGCTTTCTGCTCATTGGCGGTCTGACCTCATCTCATCCAGTCAGGGTTCTCTGCCCCTCCCCGCCATGGATAGTAGGAAACAGGAGTGTGGTTCACGTTCCCCCTCTAGTAGGATGCATGTTTTGTTTCATTCGTGTTGCGTCGCATGAAAACTTAGGAATGAATATTTGGGATTCTCTTTCGACTGCCGTGTGTGTTCGTCTGCAGCAGCGTCTGCTCAGAGCTCCGTGAACTTCTTGTCTGTAGCACAACAGGACAGAAACGAGCTCGTCGATACTCAGCGTTTCACTGTCGGCGAGTACAATCATTCCTCCTTTGTGGGCCTCCGTGTGGCGCTTCCTCACTCTCCTGTGTGGGGTCGCGTCCTCGCTCAGATTGGACAAAAGGCAGCCAATGGTGTCACAGCACAGGTAGCTCTGGTGAAATGAGGCCACAACAAGAAAGGGCGCCGCCTGTTTTCCCACTGCCCCCCCACAGCGCAGCTCACTGCCTGCCGAATATCACAATGAGACACAGACACAGTGAGACTGAACCACAACAGTTCAGGGACAAAGCTTAAGGTTCAAGATTCTTTCATCGCCTTCATGTGTCGCCTCTGAAACTTTCTTGTAGTTTAAACACACTGAACGCTTGAGTGTCGATGAGTGTGTTTCGGGTCTCAGTCGGGACGTAATCGGAGCTCTGAGCGGCGTCGGACCGTCTGCCTGTGTTTCACACAAATCTTAGTACCGCTTCTGATGTTCCCTCGTTTGTCAGATTTCATGAACAGAAACTGAATCAGCTGTCAGTGACATCACACGGCCAGCGTTCTTCGCTCTGCCGTGTCCGATTGACAGGCGTCGGCATGGCGACTGCGCTGAGGTTTATGGGAGACTGACGATGTCACCAGTCAGCCTGTAGAGTTAAATCCACTGTGTCTGCAGATTACTGTCTTAAAAGAAGAAGGAATCATCCTCCAATCAGAAGCGGCGATGCGTCTAATCCCCTCTTAGTCCGACTAGCAGCCATCAACCTCTCTATGAACTAGGACGCGGTATCGAAGTAATGTGCTACTACTGCCATATTTCCAACTTTTTGTCACGACTTGGTTCTTCCTCTCCCCTCTGATGAGCTTTTTCTATGTAACTCAGAGCCATATTTTATAGGTTGTCTGTATTGTTTTTTATCTCATTGTTATCGAGGTTTCCTTTGGACTTTCTCACTCCCGCCCTCCCCCTCCTCCCCCGGCCCTTTACTCCAAACACGACCAAAAAACAAGGAGAAAATCTTCAGTCGTCACTGCCGAACCAAGTTTAAAGGACCTCTACAATGTTTACATGAAAAGCGAGTCGGTGGCAGTTCGCCTGCGCTTCTCTCATCCGACCACTTCCCTGTCATTCCCTTGCTTTCCTGAATCTTAGAGTTACTATTTAACTAAATGGGGAATCTTTCTTGCATGGTTTTCATATAAAATTCAATGTTTTGCTCATTTTTTACAATTCTTCTGTATTTTTATATTAAGTACTTTTTAATATTTTGGAGATATATGAATATATATGTATAGGCTGAAGAGTTTGGTGACAGTACAGTACATGAATGAGATGAATCTACCGTGGACTCTGTCTTTTTACAGCTCTCTGAATATTTATGCCACGTGTGTCGTCTTGGTCACCTGATGTTAGGGCTCAGAAACCTGCAGTGACTTGTTTACTTCTTGTTGGCCGTTCAATTGGAATCGCAACAATCTGGTCCCATCAGCCCCCTTTTACATGAGTATAACACTTTATCTACGATGTTGTGGCACACTACAGGCTATGTGATTTCACAGTTATCCAGTTCCATTAGAGCTCAGCAACATGAATACAGCTAACTGTATCAAACATTAAATGGGAGTGTTTAATTATTTATCCAACCTCTGGGTTTGTTTGTTTCTGTACTTTGAAGCTACGACGACGATTTCTTTGAATGAGTGGACTGATGCTGTTTTCAGCCGCCAGGTGTCGGAGCTGACGACTTAAAAGAGGATCAAAGCTGCATCCTGCTCCAGGCTCCGCCTTCTCTTGAGGGGCGTGGCCTATGACGGCCTCTCCACAACAGCCTCCCAGTGTCTCAAACCAAACCTGAGAAGTTAATCTGAACACAACCGTGAAACAAACAAGGTTACAAAACAGGCCCAAAGCAACCTTTGTTTCCCAAAAGTGTTTGGAGGCCGAGACGATCTTGGTCCGGTGGTATGTCTCATCTGAGAACAGTTTATCCTGAAAGAATCCAGAACCTGAGACCCAGAGCAGAACCAGGGTTGATTGAAAACTTACGAGCTTATAAAAACCACAAGCTTGATATAAACTCAGCTCCATCCCTGTCGAAGTGATCTCCTCGTGCAGTGAGCTCTGCTCCCAGCGCTCCTGCAGCTTTGTGATGTTCTCCAGAGAACCTTTAGAATCTTCTAAACTGAGTCAAACAGCAACACTTCAACTTGAATCTCAGTTTAGGGAACAGAAAGAAGTCACCGGGAGACAAATCTGGTGATGCAACATGAGCAGTCTCAGAACATTTTGATTAACTCTCGAACACTGAACATCACTTGAATCCACCTGGACTCTGGTCTCAGGTCAAATCTATGTTAGAAACAGATTGGACGTCCCCCAACCAATGACCTGAGTCTGTTTGGGTTCCCCTGTTTATTATTTGTCATAATTCTGGTGTTTAAAGACAATATTTGACGACACAGTCCAGGTATTGGCATTTTAAATGTATAAGTTGCAGCGAGCTGTTAAGTGACATGTTTACACACCCGGTCCGTCTGCTCGGCCTCCAACCACCGATGGATCGTCTAAATCCCAAACCTCTGATTTGTACATTTAGAACTGAGGCTGAAGGAGGCGGAGCCTGTAACAGGACGCAGCTGTCGGAGTCATCACCGATTTAAACACGATTGACAGTTTTAGAAATTGTTCCCGGGAAGAGAGATTATAGCGTCCACACGATGCTCCCAGAGTCAGAACAGTGTAAATATTGTCCAATAAGTGACTGAGTGAAGCTGCCGGCGCTGACCCGGGAGAGCGGGGGCAATCAGCCAATCAGCACCCAGCTCATCTCTTTTCTTTCTCTGCACAAGTTTTTCTTATGACACCTGCCTCCCCCCCGGATCAGAACGTCCCCTGCTCTCGCCTCGGCCGCCGTCTGTTGGATGGTTGGACTGATTGGATGGTTGGACTGGTTGGACTGGTTGGACTGGTTGCCCTCCCGTCTCCCGGCCGGCGCTCAGCGCAGCCATCAGAGACTCTGCGACCTGTTTGTGCTTCTAGTTTCAGCCACGTCACCAATTAAAACGGTCTCAGCAGCGGACTGAAAATCTGCACATGGATTTAGTTTTCCGGTTTGTGGACTGTGTAAGATCTCAGTTTGCCATCAGGACTTCTGAACGGAGAAGGAACTCGCTTCTTGTCCGGCCACCGTTGCATTTTGACTGCGTTGCTTCTTCTTCAGAGCACTGCCTTTCTCAGAAGAACCTTCACATCCACTTCAAAATCCACCAATAAAAAAGGTTCAAACGAACTGGAATATCACAGTTGGAAAAGTCATAACCACTTAACATATATATCTATATATTTATATATTATATCTATATATTTATGTCTGGTATATATATATATATATGATGTGTATATATATATATATTAGATATAAAAATATAGATATATTTGGTTTCTCAGTTGAACTTCATTGCAAAAAAGACTGAAAAAGATTTTTTTCTGTAATTACTATGATACACAGTAATAGGCGTTGGTGTTATTTTTGTATAAACATAATATCATCTATGTGGCATGCATGACATATATACAAAATTTGGTGGTTTAAAGCAATATGTCCAACCTGGTGCGATTGGTTCCGTCGTGTTCTGTGTAGCCTAAAGCCACTCTGTACGAAAAGAGATATAAAAGAAAAAAAAAAAAAAGGAAAAAAATGCATTTGGATAAAACTAACTGTTCAGTATATGTGTTCAATGTTCTGTGTTCTGCATGTTTTAGTACGGAATGAAACATCCCAAATGTTGACTTGTTTTCAAATGAATCTCAAACACACGGCATCACACATGTATTTGCACTGTGAGGTGAAACACGCTGAGGAAATTAAAACTGTGTGACTTCTGGTGGATGGATTGATGAAAGATGAAGATTCTTCTTCTTTTGGTTTTTCCGTCATCTCATCTTGTCCAGAAACTAAACAGATCTCATCCGCCTCCCCGCCGCCTCATCCGCACTCAGATTTACAGACTGTCCTGAACTCATCACCGCTCAGCTGTGCAGTGAGAGGAGGAGGAGGAGGAGGAGGCAGACGATGAAGGTTAACTGGCCTCAAACATGAGCTTCAGGTAGGCGTTCGCTCTGCAGGAGTCCACATCTCACCCATCACATCCGTCCGTCCGTTATCCTGCTGCTTCTCTGAGAAACGGGAGGATAACGGAGTCTGTCCATCACCTGCTCAGTGTTTGTGTTCATGTCGGAGCCTCGCCATCGCTGAAAGTCCCTCCTAGCGTCATCTAGAGATCCACTCACCGACCGTCAGCTTCAGCTGTGAACTGTCGGACCGCAGCTACTTCCACTGCTGAGGTTTTCTGTTTAGAATAGAGGAAAACACCAAAGATGTTCAGTTTATCTTCACATATGACAAAGAAAAACATTTTCACATTTGAGATGAAGTCAGTAGATACAGAAGGTTAATCTGCAGCTTTGTTGTCTAACTGTTGGAGATCCCGTTCATTCCATCTTCTAGAATAACTCGAGATCTTTATTAAAAATGCTTCATCTGTTGAGCTGTAACTCACCCGTCTGCTGTCATGTGTCAGTCTGGAGTTATGAATCTGACCCTGTTAAACATTCGCTGTGTTTCAGAAACTAATTCCTCAAATTTGCAATACAGTTCTTACGTTTGCTTGAGGCTTCCTGGAAGTTTGAACACTTAAGTCATGTGATCAGCTGAGAAACATGGCCGACGCTCGCTGATACAAACGCTAACTACCAGTTTCCAGGTTGAAAACATTTCCCAAAGACTTCCTATTTCTGTGGATGACAAAGTTTAGTTTCTACTTTGTCTCGTCTCTGTTTAGAATAGAATAGAACTTTATTATTTATTACCGCCGTGTCGCCCACAGCGCCACCTTCTGACAAGCAGTTGATAAAATTTCTATTCTTTTTTAAATTTTTCTGCAAAGTTTCAAAAGTTTGTTTTAGATTCTCTCTAGAATTGAAAAGAAACAGCTCGGTGCCCTCTTTAGAGACAAACCTGACGGCTTTACAGCGACTGAAAGGTGGATTTTAAACTGATGTCCATCTTAACAGAGAAACGTGAGAATAGTCAGGAAACTTTCTTCAACCCTGTATTGACAAACAGCAACAGGATTTCAAGAGAAATGAGTGAATCTGCTGCTGTTTTGTTGCCAATCTTCACGATAACAGCTGAACATTATAAGTAGACGCTGTCAGTATACTTTGACTCCACATTTATTTGTTGAGGAAACGAGCAACATAAAGTGCCAGCATTAAAGTTTTCCATCTCAGTGGAGATAAACGTCTGACTTGTGTTCACATTAAAGTGCATGAAGCATGAAATGTGAGAGACGAGCCGCTGACAGGATTAAACAAACACTGAGGTCATGACTGAAAGCTGCTGTTTATCCTCATTAACTCCTCAGCTCATGAGTGTTCTGTCTGTCTTCTGACCCCAACATGATGCACAATAGAAACCCTTCTCTTCAGTTGTTTAAGGCCTAAAACTAGTTGCATTTTTGAGTCTAGAAGTTCAAGATGTCTTCATTGTGAAAGCCAAAGCTGTTACCCTTCAGTCAAAATGTTTGCGTTCATCCAGTAGAAGTGGAGATGTTTCACTCAGGAGGCACCAGAGGAAAGTTGTCTCAAAGTTAAGTTGCTTCGTTACCGCTTAACCTCGGATGTCTCTGACTTGGTTTAACAAACAAGGAGCTTCATGTCAGCCAGGCTCCTCCGATCGAAAAAATTAAACCTGAATTAAATGTAAAATGTGCTGCAATCAGTCCCACCTGACCTGAACCGATGTTCAGATATTTAAGTCTGAACCAAAGTGGTGCATCGCTCGATTAATCCGAAATGAGGTCAACACCTGTGACCTCTGTGACCTCTGTGAGATGGATTGTCCTGAAACTTGAGGCAAACATTTGTGATTCTCTGACTGCTCCACGAGGTCGACACTTGTGCCCCTGAGTGTTTTGACTTGATTGTCCTTGAAGTTGGCACCAACATTCCCCATTCTTTGATGTCTTCTGACTTCCCTCCAACGCCACCATGAAACATCTGGATGTCTGTTTGTTGACTTGTCCAGAAATGTGGCACCAAGCAACAGACTACTTTGCTCCAGACTAAAATGTCTGAACACGTTTTAGATGGATTATCCTGAAACTTGGCACCAACATGTGCGATTCTCCAACAATGTATCCGGACGACTTTTGGTGCCGTCATGAGGTCGACACTTGCTGTCCTTAGTGAAACATCTCGACCTTCTCTGGATGGGTTGTTCTGAAAGTTGGAAGAAACATTCACCATTCTCCAACAAAACATCCTGACTTTCCTCCAGTGCCACCACGAGGTTTAAACTTTGGTCCTGAGCAAAACATCTCAACCTCTATTTGATGGATTGTTCCAGAATTTGGTGCAAAACTGTGAACCACTTTGGTCTAGACTAAAAACTCTGGACCTATATGTTATTGTTTGTCCTCAAATTGGGCACAAACATTTAGGAAACACTCCAACACTGTATCCGATGACTTTGCTCCTTTGCTGCCTTTAGGTCAACACTTAAAGTCCTGAGCAAAATATCTCGATCTCTACTGAAGGAATTGGAAAGCGATCCAACACTTTGTACCAGACTGAACTATCTGAACCTACATTAGCTGGACCGTCTTGACATTTGGCACATTTGGACGACTTTTGCCCAGTGCCCCCACAAGGTCGACACTTAAGGTTCTGAGTGAAATATCTGGACGTCTCTTGGACGGATTGTTCTCAAAGTTGCACGAAACATTGGATGTTCTCCATCATACGATCCTGTAGTGTCGCCACGAGGTTTAAACTTTGGTCCTAACCAAAACATCTCAACCTCTATTTGAGCTATTGTTCTAAAATGTGGTACAAAACTGAAACGCTTTGATCCAGACTAAAATATCATAAATTGTTATTTGTTCTCAAATTGGGCATAAACACTCACCAAACACTCCAACACTATATCCGATGACTTTCCTCCATTGCTGCTGTTGGGTCGACCCTTAAGGTGCTGAGCAAAATATCTCGACCTCTACTGAAAGATTTGTTCCAAAATTACATGAGTTGGATTGTCTTGACATTTGGCACATTTGGACAACTTTTGCCCAGGGCCTCCACAAGGTCAACACTTAACAGCACTTAAGGTTCTAAGCGAAACATGTGGACGCTACTGGAGAAATTGTTCTAAAAGTTGGACGAAACATTTGCGATTCTCCTGCTAAGCATCCTGTAGCGTCGCCACGAGGTTTAAACGTTGGTCCTGAGTCAAACATCTCGACCTCTGTTGGACGGACTGACGTTAAATTGAGCTCAAGCATTTTGAATGGAGGCTAACAGCTCAGGCGATCCTTTAGATTTTCTATCTAGCGCCACCATCAGGTCAAAGCACTGATCTATGAGCGAATACCTGCCAAACTGAGACATTCCAGAGGCCGTGACCTCTTCGTCTTCGGTCCTGTCAGCGGACTCTGATCCTCGGCAGCGATTTGTTCTTGAGCCAAAATAAACCTTCCTGTGCTTCCCTAAACGTGTGTGTGTGTGTGTGTGTGTGTGTGTGTGTAGGTGTGTGTGTGTGTGTGCCTGTGTGTGTGTGTGTGTGTGTGTGTGTTGGCTCGGCGGAGTTGTGTTTCCTCAGTGTGTGCGTCACCTCGTCTCCGTCACACATCCTCCTCCTGTTTGCTTCAATCTATGCAACAGAATCCTCCAGTTCGGCTCCGGCGGTTCATTCGGTTCCTCGCGTTCTCCTACCCCCCTCCCCTACCCCCCACCCCCAGCCCCCTCGCGCCCCCCCTCCGTCTGCTCGTCTCAGTCCAGTTCTGCTTTCAGTTCTTTGTACAGACAGAACCTCGACACCTGATGTATGTATGTGTGTGTGTGGCCCAGCGGCGCACACACTCATGTTTTCTTTACTCTTTTGTAAGATATGATCATGTGGAATGCCTTGGTCTTAGTGTCATGTCCTTTGAACTTAAGCTGAACAAAAGATGATAATCAAGCAACTGAGTAAAAGTTGTTACATAAATATATATAATATATAAATATATATATAAATATATACAAATCTATATACATAAAATAAAGCCATTGGACTTTGAAATAAATCTGTGTCACGTCGTGCTTCTTTCAGATATTCAGGTTTGTCTGTTGGTGAATGTGTCTCCACATGTTGACGGGATCGATTCTGCTCTTCCACCGTCTACATGGTTCTGAATCGTGCAGTAAAGCAGCCATGCCAGTTGTTCGTCCATTTTAATATCAGTTCTCGTCTCCTTGCTGCAAATGTTGATAAAGGGTAAATGGTCTGTGCAAAAAAAGCGCTTTACAATGTTTTCTCATTCACACACACATTCACACACCAGTGGTGACAGAGCGTCCATGCAAAGTGCTGCCTGCCATTGGGAGCAACTTCAGGTTCAGTGTCTTGCCCGAGGACACTTTGGCTGTGGAGGGGATCAAAACGCCAACTTTGCAATCGGAGAACAACCCGCTCTACCACCTGAGCCACAGCCGCCCTGTGTTCCACTAAAACAATCCTCCCGTCCCGAAACACCGCCGCTGCCGCCTCAGCTTAGCGCGACTGTGATCAGTTTAGAGACATGCAAACATTTTAGAGCATTTCCCTCCTGTTGATGATAAGGAGGTTCAGTCAGACCGTTCTGCACATCATTAGCTCAGCATTAGAGAACGGTCTGACCATGTGATGGCTAAGTGGTTGTTTGATCAATCCCCCAAAACCTCCATTTTAACCCTCTGAACTCCAAGCAGCAGTTTCTGGATGTTTTTGTAATATAAAGTCCTCAATGGAAACGGAACAAACATGACTAGAAGTAGAGAGAGCTGAGAAATGTGTTGGAATGACAGAAATGATTTAAGAAAATATCGT